AATTTTTTATTATATATAATTCTAAACGAAATAATCTTTTTAGGAAGTATTTTTTAAATATATATTTAATTGACAAATTTTAAAGTTAAATTTTTGTGAAAATATATGTCTATTAAGTAAGTTTCTTGTTCTTTTATGATGTCATTTATTAGTAACTATATACATGTGAGATTGCATTAAATGTGTATGTTCTTTATTTCCTAATTAGTTAATTGAAAAATATGATGATTATCTTATTTTGCTATCAATTACTTGCACAAATTTATATGATAATGGTGATTTGAGTTAGAAAAGCCCAAAACTATTATCCATTTAGAAAACCACAAATATAATGGTGATTTGAGATTTAGAAAAGCCAAAACTATTATCTTAATTATATATATATATATATATATATATAAATATGGATCTTAAAAATGTAATTTACTATATATATACATTTGTTTGTTTTTTCTATTAACAGATAAATAACACAAATGAAAGACCGTTTGTAGTTGATTACAAACCATTTTTCAGTTTGTTTCATAGCGATATGCAAATTCAATATTATTTTCGTCTCGATAAAATTTAGAAATCTATTAAATTATTTTATATTGTACAATTGCAAAAAAATTAACAATTTTTTGCAGGTTTCTATGAGAATTTTTAATTCATAATTGTTCTTCTTATTTTATATTACTTATGAATTATATTTAACCTTTTATCACATTTTCTATGGGACTGTGATATCTATGAGATTTTATCACATTTTTTTAAGATGTCACTATCTCCTGTATATTTTTCTTACATTTGTTTTTTTTTAATAGTTAACTTTTATTAAAAACATACTAATGATGTTAATTTTTTTTACTTTAGTTAACTTTCATTTGTTTTATTCTTATATACTTTTTGTGACTTTTTTAGTTTTTGTTTCTGTTTAATATTGAATTTAGTTCACATACTTTATGTGTATATATTTTAAAACATAATTTTTCTTTTAAAAAATTAAGCGACAAAGAGCCTAATTAAATCGATCCAAAAACAAACCGAACTGAATATAAATTGAACTAGACATAAATCACAACGAACCAGACTAAATAAGGTTTATTTCAGTTGAAAAAAATATATTAAAATCGAACTAAACAAACCAAACCGAAAAAGTAACGATTTGCCCACCCCTACTGCATCCTAGAGATTTGCGCAAATCTTGTCTCACCATTGAAACTCTCACTTGTTCCACTAGCTCCCACATTTAAACTCAATAAATACTCCTGTCTCAATATTATACTATATTTTTATACCCGCACAGGGTGCGGGTGGATCACCTAGTTTAAAATATATGATAATCAATTCCCTTTAGTTTCTCTAACAATATTTAATAATCAATACTCCTATTTATTACTCCCCATATTATGATAGACCAAAGATTTATACATAACCCAGTTAAATTATCATCTCATCTAAACGGGTTTCATGAATCCCTACCAAAACATGACTAATTAATGAATCCCACCAAACGTATATTGTTCCTTGGTGAGGTGATGTTATCAATGTCTATTAAAATGAAAATTTCCATGAATAATTCATGTTAAACTTTTTTAAAATATTTATCTATAAAACTTATCCGTCATTGTTTCTCCTTGATTAACACTTTAAATAATTTCGATTTGATTTTAGAGTAACCTATTTTTGCGTACTTTAGTTTAACAATATATATTTTAAATATATTGTTAGAATATTTTTGTTAAGAATATATCATAGATACGATTTTGAAATTAAAATCTATATTATCAAAAAATAATTCTGAAATTTTACTATTAGATAATGTTGAATTTATATTTATTTTATTTTATCCATTAACTACTCTAACCATACAATGATTTAAATTTTTAAATGAAACCTATTATTACTTCTCATTCTATATGATACACTTCTCTAAATTTTTCTTATCATCCAATATTACCGTTGCTATAGTTATACACTACATCTGGTGTTTAATAATGGATCTATAATATTTAGAAAATTAAATTTAATAAAAAACTTTAGCAGATCATCTGTTAAAACAAAATTATATATATTACATTAGGTTAATTTTTATAGAAATATCTACAGTAAAAGTGTTATTTAAGAAAAGTTTAAAAATTAACCCTGCAAAATTATACTATTAAATTAGCTAAAAATATGTCGAGTAAATCTTAAGTCTTACCAATTGAACAAAAATAAATCTTACAAAGGCACACAAAATAGAAGTTAGAATATGCATGTGCATACTGTTCATAATAATATACGAAATTTCAAAATACTAACTCATATCAAATTTCATTTTTAACTTTAAAATACCCGCGCTTTTAAAGCTCGGGTCAAAATCTAGTGGAGTATTATAAAGCTTTAAGTTATTGCTACACATGTGGAACTTCTTAGACCGCTTCTTAATATAAACTATATATTTCAAAATGTATTTAAGTGTCATTATTCATAATCTATACTATTAAAGCAGAATACCTCTTAGGAGGTTGCCATTGGTTTTCTAATTTATTTACAATACAATGCCATTTCCTATTTAAAATATTTTTAATCATTACATCAAATATATTTTCAATCAATCACATGTCAGTGTTTTTATGGCATATTATTTACGTTTTTTAAAGAATCTAAAAATTGATTATGAATGCGATATTGTTAAGATCTTCTGACTTTATTTTGGAATTATGTGGCTGACAATTAAGATCATTTTTTTTAAGAAAATCATTTTCCACTTGAAATATCACATTTATTATAATTACAATATGCTAATACTTAGAATATTCTATAATTTTAAGCGAATATTTACAATAATTTTAGTATGATAATAATCTTAATATTTTAGCTATGAAATTTATCATTACAAAAATTAAATCAGTTAGTTAAACTAAAATTAGGACATCGAATAAATGTTTACAAATATTTGGACGGTTCATATATATATTAAATTGAAAAAAAAACTGAGAACTAAATAGATATATATTCAAAATATATTTTTATATATAAAAATATTAGTTATATTTAGTTTTTAAATTATTAAATATTCCAAAATATTATTTATAACAAATTAGCCAAAAATCTGGATTACCATATTATTTTTATCCAATATTAAATAATTATTTTGAATTTCTCGATAAAAAAATTACCTGAATACTTTTCGATCTTTAAATTTATTAGAGTTACCAATATTTTGTAAAAAAAAATTCTCAAAATATAATTTTACCCAAATTATTCGAAATTATCACAAAATTGGGAACTGGACCAAAAACAAAATTACTCTAAATTTTATCAAATTTTTAACAATGTTATCCAAACCACACCGAAACAAAAATAGCCAAAATTTAACCAAACTGATAAATAACAAAACGGTACTTTCATATCTTTTGAACCGAAAGACTGAAAACTATGCATGAACTAGAACCAACAAAAAAAACAACTAAACCGAAAATTAAACATTCATACCTAAACATATTAGTAAACAAATGAACGGATTAATCAATTTGTTAAAAAAATTAATCCCGCGTTTTCAAAACGTGGATCAAAATCTAGCGTATATTATCATCTAACTAATTTCTTTCACTTCCACAACCGAATCTCTAGCGGTATGAAAAACAAATTATAATTAATTTTGTCTTAATTATAAGATTTACCCAAAAAAAAAAGATTTGAGATTTTAATGAAGAAATGCAAAATAAAATAAAACTGAAGCTTACAAAAAGGTTTATATCTTGTTATACGAAGACTATATAAAGTTGAAAACTTTTATTTTAATAAGAACATTCCTATATATAAATGAAAGATAGTGAAATAGGGTCGAGGAGGAAACCATAGCATGGCAAACTAATTATGTTGTTCGGTTGATACGTTTTCAGAATGAATAATAAATCATATAAACATACGTGATTGTGAATTAATTCCATTAGAATAAAGCTTGCACTTTTTTATATAGGGTATGACTAGGTAAGAGATAGAGACTTTGAACATATATATATGTTTTACCTGTATGTTAAATAGGAGGGGACCACGATTGTAAAATGACTCCGAGGATAATACCATTAGATCGTATTGATAAACAGCGAGTGTTACCCAAAACATGGCACTATCCATGCATTCTTTCCACTTTGTATATTACAGTGCTGTTTATTTTTGTATAAAACTTGGAGGATTATGGTTTGTAATCACCCATTTCAAGTATAATTCTTGCTTCGTGAGTCATCATCCTCTATAAATTTCTCTTAGTCAATTAGAGTTGGCTAACCAAACATATATTTTAATCACATTATTCCGTGTTTCATTTGTTTTAGTGCCAGTAAATAACTTTTTTTTTATTAAAAGATTGTTTATTGAACAGAAATTTAAATCCCAATTACACAACATAGAGGAATGTTGTCTCCCTTCTCCCCATATGTCTTGCTATGTTCCTCCAACACGGGGCACTATAAATACTCACTCCAACACTCTCCAAAATACTCAACTGCTCTCCACAACAGAAACATAAACCAAAACTAATAGACACATCAGAGAGAGAGAAAGGAAAGATGATTGAGACAGTTAAGCACCTGATTGGCTCCGGTGGCTCCAACGGATTTGGATCAAGATCCACCGCAGAGCGTGTCACTGTTAATTGTGATCTCGCATCTCTAACAGCCATCATCACTGGAGCGACGTCGGGGATAGGAGCAGAGACTGCACGTGTTCTGGCAAAGCGTGGAACGAGGCTTGTGATTCCGGCTAGGAGTCTCAAAACCGCCGAGGAAACAAAGTCACGTATCCTCTCCGAGTTTCCCGATGCTGAGATCATTGTCTTGCATCTCGATCTCAGCTCACTCGCCTCCGTTCGAAGATTCGTTGCCGATTTCGAATCTCTTAATCTCCCTCTCAACATCCTCATGTAATTATTATTTAAACTTCTTATTCTTATTCTTTGTCATATTTATATCTCATAATTGTTTGTTCAAAAAAAAAAAAATCTCATAATTAATTAATCTCCGGGATTACAGCAACAATGCTGGAAAATACGCGCAGAAGCATGCCATCTCTGAGGACGGCGTTGAGATGACGTTCGCAACTAATTATCTCGGTAACTTTTTATACTATTTAGCATTAAACTTGATCAATCAACATTTATATTATACGGTCTAATCGTGATTAGTTAACTTTATTATTTTTGTATGGACGCGCAGGCCATTTTCTGCTGACTAAACTACTGTTAAAGAAGATGATTGAAACGGCGGAGCAAACCGGCGTTCAAGGCCGTATAGTCAACGTCACGTCGGTGATCCATAGCTGGTTCTCTGGCGATATGCTGCAATATGTCGCCGATATCTCCCGAAATAATAGGTATTTTACAAGAATCCTAAATACAATATATATATTCCAATCATATACTACTACTCTACTCATCATTTTGCGAATAATTAACTAATGATTAGCAAAAAGTTAAAATATGCAACGACAAAGAATAAACGCCGTCGTTCTTTAATTTATTTAATCATGTTGATTAGAGAGAATAATACTCTATAGTCTATACTACTACGTACTTAAATGAATTATAAGGTCATGAGTTTGTCTTGTGTTTTGTAGAAACTACGATGCGACTCGAGCTTACGCGCTCTCCAAGCTAGCCAACGTTCTCCACACCATTGAGCTTTCCCGAATTCTCCATGTAATTATTCTTTAAAACCCTTAATTTCCTCATTTTTACTATTAATTTAATACGATTAATTTTTGCTAATTCGACTAATCACTACAGAAAATGGATGCTAATGTAACGGCCAACTGTGTTCATCCTGGAATCGTCAGAACGCGTCTCACACGAGATCGAGACGGCCTCATCACTGATTTAGTCTTTTTCTTGACCTCCAAGCTATTGAAGTCCGTTCCTCAGGTACGTCAATCAATAATTAATCGATTTTTCATTTATAAATCATGTATAGAATTATTTATGCGTACGACATCATAGAAAATATATCTTACACAAATTAATGATTCAATTTAATTATTTATAGGCAGCAGCAACGACATGCTACGTAGCAACGAGTCCGAGATTGAGGAACGTGTCTGGCAAATACTTTTCAGACTGCAACGAAGCTCGGACATCTAAATCTGGATCCTGCAATCTTAAAGCTCAGAGGCTGTGGACTGCTTCTGAGTTGTTGGTTTCTCCAGCTTCCACTCCCAACGTTTATCAAACCTTTAAGTACTGCTCTTTAACCAAAGATGCTATGTATGTGTAAATCCCAAGCCCTGTAATAAGACCTAGATAGCTTTACTATAATACAGGTATATATACATAGCAATATATGTTCGTTGGTGTGCGTAGGTGTGTGTAGGTGTGTATAAGCCATGCCTCTATATTATTAGTATATATGTGGTTGTGGGGTACAGTTTCATGTAAATATAATATATATATATGTAGGGTTTTGTACAATCTAGCTATGTCTTTGTTGGGTGAAAATCTAGCTGTATTTGTTATGTAATTCGTACCTTCATCAATCTAGCACAACCATTATATGTATATAGAATTTGAAAAAGTAAATATAAAAAGAAAAACGAAGTCAACTGAAATCGTATCCACACGCCAAACACGCTTGAAGGTTTAAAAATCTTATAAATAATTAAATTTCTCTTCAATGCAAACTAATTTATTTAATTGTAATTTTACTTGTATAACTAAAATACAAAAACAAGTAAATATAAAAAGAAAAATAAATTAAAGAAATGTGAAATATTATCGAATAGAAATTATTAAAATAATTTAATTTTAAATAATGAGAATAAGTAGAAATTATGAATAAGTGAAAATGTAATTTTAAATAAGAATAGGTAGAAATATGATAAGTTTGCTGGTATAAAAAATAACTTCACAAAAATATACAATTAATTAATTTAAAATGATGAAATATGCTTTAAATTTTTTAAAATGCTGTAAGTATCATATGAATTATTTTGGAAAACAATTTTGTATAATTAATGAGTTGCATCAATACATCAAATACCTTAAGAATACCTTTCTTATTAAAATTTTACATAATTATCCATAAAATCTAAAATGTAAAAAAAACAAAATTAATAGTATATAAATATAAATTTAATAAAATAAATTTTGTAAAGAGAAAATAAAATGAAATATGAAGAAAAGTTTTCATTTCTTTCAAAATAAAAATGATATTTTTAAGGAAATAATTTTTTTTAAAAAAAAAAAATATTACAGTAAATATTTTAAAATTTTAAATTTAAATTTAAATTATTGAGTTTTTATTGAATATTTTAGTATATATGCTTGTACAGTATTATATTAAAGAAACATGTACAAAAGATAAGTTTAAAATATATTTTTGATCAACTTTAGATTTGAAATTATATTTTAGTTTGATTAACTTTTGGTTCAGTTCATGTCCATAGCATATTACCCGGAAAATTTATATAACATAAAAAAAACCTTGTTGAGAAATTCTCTTAGATAAATCTTTTTAGTTTATCTTCACAAAAATATCCCTCAAGGAGAAAAATAACAAAAAATAAGTTTTTATTAAAAGGTAAATATGCACTTATATCTTTGGGTTAACTAATCTACACTTAGGGTTTAGAGTTAAGAAGTGGGCTTTTGCGCTTAGAGTTTCAAATTTTAAAAAATAAAAATAAAAATTACAAATTTCAAAATAAAAAGGCTAGTTTGATCATTTTATTTTTCCAGGGCTATTTTTGTGACAAAAAGTTAAAAAGGTGTATTTTAGAGAATTGCCCAATATTATTTGTTAACCAATCACTTTAAGATAAGAAAAAAAAATCTTATTTATTTTTTAGAGCCTGAACCTTGTTGTAAAAAGAAAAAGAAAAAAAGTAGCCAAATTCTGAATGAAAATAAAGACAACAGCAATGATTTTGACATTTTTTAACTAACTAACTAACTAACATTTACCTCATATTTTACCCGGTTATATCCTCTTTATTAGCAAATATTCAGTAAAAGAAGAAAAAAAATAGATAATGTAGTCACTTAGGGTCTTATGGTGACCAAGGGAATGAGTACGAATAGTAAATTCCTTATCATTTCTTACAATTTATACCATGTACAAAGAGTTTTGCTCCTTATAATTCCTTAATATTCTTTAAGGATTTTTGCAAATTTGACTCAAAACTCAAAGTCAAACACAAAACTAACCTTTCTTGTTTTTTGATTTTTCATTTGTCTTATTCACCCCATCTGTTCACATTATTTACGAAAATGCCATTACACTTTTTTCTTTTTCTTTTTTTTTGAAAATTGTTTTTTACTCTCTCAACCTCATCATCTTCAAGTATTTACAAGATTGACATTGCCATCAATACCCTAACTACCATGGACAACCAATTTGAAGCTCTTAATGCACCTAAAATCGATTTACTCTCTCTCTCTTTCTCAATTGTTATGAACTAAAAAAAACATCTCTTTCACTTTGTCTCCATATTCATACAAAAAAACTCAAGCTTTTGATTCAAATTTTTTTATGGTTGATAGAGCCATTTAAGCATACAATTCTTGGTGGGTTACTTTCATTTGATATTTTGGGTGGTTGGAGAAGACTTTTTGTGCTAAGAAAGTCATCTCACCTAGTTTAAGGTATGAAATTGAAATTTTTTCCAGATCTGTTCGCGTAGAAGACTTACTCGTAAGTCTTCTGGATGAGCTGGACGACTTACTTTTAAGTCGTCCAGCTGGACGACTTATTTCTAAGTCTTCCAGCTTTTTATGTTAAAAAAAAAAAATCTGGACGACTTATAAGTAAGTCGTCTAGGAAAAACGGGCTAATTTTGCATTTGACTGAATTGTGTCAGATATTTGACTTTTCCAATCTAGATGATTTAAAATTTCAATATTTTATTAAATCTAAACGACTTACGGATAAGTCGTCTTAGGTTAGTTTTGTAACTGAAAAAAAAACTTTAATTTATTTTTTTCCAGAAGACTTAATTTAAAGTCGTCCAGTCAAACAACTTATTCTAAAGTCGTCTGAGATAAGTAAAGTCGTCCAGATTTTTTTCCGGTCAAACTTTGCTTATCTCGGACGACTTTAGAATAAGTCGTCTGACTGGACGACTTTAAATTAAGTCTTCTGAGAAAAGTTAAAATTAAAGTTTTATTTTTCAATTACAAAACACTAACCTAAGACGACTTATCCGCAAGTCGTCTAGATTTAATAAAATATTGAAATTTTAACTTTCCCGGAGACGACTTACTGGTAAGTCGTCCAAGAAACGTCAAATATCTGACACAATTCGGTCAAATGCAAAGTCTAGATTTTTTTTTTTTTGGACATACAAAGCTGGACGACTTAGAATTAAGTCGTCTCATTTAAATTCCAATTGCAAAAATGACATGTCTGGAAGACTTACAGTTAAGTCGTCTGGACGACTTACGGTTAAGTCGTCTGGACGACTTACTTGTATGTCGTCTGCGTCAATGACTAATAATTAAATCATCTGGAAAGTCTTTCAGCTGGATGACTTTCCAGACGACTTAATTATTAGTCTTCTACTAAGTCGTCCAGGCTTTATAAGTATGTATTAAGAATTTGTGTTAGTCTTCTTAGATGACTATTAATTAAGTCATCTGGAAATTCTTCCAGCTAGATGACTCTCCAGAAGACTTAATTATAAGTCTTCTGCTAAGTCGTCGAGGCTTTATGAGTATGTATTAAGAATTTGTGTTAGTCTTCTCAGATGACTAATAATTAAGTCATCTGGAAAGTCTTCTAGCTGGATGATTTTCCAGAAGACTTAATTATAAGTCTTGTACTAAGTCGTCCAGGCTTTATGAGTATGTATTAAGAATTTGTGTTAGTCTTCTCAAATGACTAATAATTAAGTCATCGGGAAAGTCTTCTTGCTGGATGTTTGATCTTCTTTGAATTTTACTAAGTTTTCTTGGTTGAATAGAGTGATAAAAATATTTGATCAAATCCCGTAATGTTTGATCTTCTGTGAATTTTACTAAATTTTCTTAGTTGAGTAAAGTGATAAAAATATTTTTTTGAATTACTTGTATTTTTAAAAGTGTTAAATAACTTCATGATATGTAAATCTCATATTTTCAAAATATTTTTTCTCCCTTAATTTTACTAAATTTGACTAAGTTTTTCAACACAACCTTGTAAAACATGTAATATGCTTTAACACCAATGATGATTTGTTGGAAGAAAGGGTAAAATGCTTCTTAAAATGTTGTATCAATACGAGGCTACCAACATTCTTGTTTATTAAGATGAGCAGAAGGCCATTGTGATTTATTATTGCATATGGGAGATCCAAAAGATGAAAAAAGGTAATGAAGTCTATTATTTCATTGATTTGTACATGTGTAAACACATTGTTAGCACATATATTACATCTTGGGAACTGATTTTACAAAACTATAATAGATCATTCCTTTACAAAGACAAGCTTTGACTCCACTTGATATGAAAAAAGACAGCGTCAGAAAACTTTCAGAAAGTCCAGACAACTTCCAGACAACTTCCATGAATTCCAGATGACTTACATGAATTTTAGATGACTTACAGGAAGTCCAAACGACTTCCAGGTAAGTCGTCCCAGAAGTCTTTCGAGAAGACTTACAAGTAAGTCGTCCAGAAGACTTACAAGTAAGTCGTCCAGAAGACTTACAAGTAAGTCGTCCAGAAGACTTACAAGTAAGTCGTCCAGAAGACTTCTAGATCTGAAAAACCTGCATTTCAAACCTAGATCTGAAAAACCTGCATATCAAAAAACATTCAAAATGGCTTAAAACACACAGAAAATGAGGGAAAGATTAGATATATATATATATATATATATATATATATATATATATACTTTTATAGAACACATAACATACATATCCAAATGAAGATGAGAACCATCTGATTAAAAACCTGCAAAAAAAAAAGATAGATTAGTGAGAAAAACATGAGACCTAACTGAAAAATTCATATAAAGTTAATAGATCTATCTTTAAATGAGTGGAATATGAGAATCATGTGATGAAAAACCTACAAAACAAGATAAGTTAATGAGAAAGACATGAGACAAAAACAATAAATTGATATAAAGTTTGGTGTTTATAAGTTCAAAGAGATTATAGAGAGGTTGAAGAGTTCTAGAAAGATGAAATTACATTTTTTGTTGCAAACATTTGAGATGAGGAGAGAGAATGTGTAAATTTTTCTTTATATAAGGAAAAAAAAAAATTAGGTTAAATATTTTCGATTCA